TAAGTGCTGTCATTACATGAATCCACACTGAATAGGGTCAGGTTTTAACCTGTGTTTGTGCCATTTTGTTATTATTCACCATGAAATGTGAACCCTAACCTCTAAGTGTATGAGATTGTAAATCACATCACTGAGTTTAAGACAGGACAAACATTTTATTTATTTGCCCTTACTACATCCCTATTAGGTTGAACTAACTTTTCCTAGCACAGATGACCAGAGGTAGAATGACTGTTGGACCAAAAGTCATGTTTCAGATGAAGCATCATCTCTGCTTCCAGAAACCATCTCTTTCCAATGCCTGGAAGCACACAGCATTGTCACAGCCATGTCATAATGACTGCAGGATAACTGAGCTAGTCATACACTCATTAGAGACAATTCCCTAAACATGATGTTGTTGTTACACAAGCATTCACATCTTTAAAGATGCTCACAGCTTTACTTCCAAGTCTAACAAGTTAACAGATCTAGTTACAACACTTGCATTTTTTCACATAATAACAACATTACTAAAACCTGTCCTAAAAGCCATCTTAAGAGGAATTCTATTCCAGAATACGAAGCCATGACACAGCAGATTCAGCTGTGCTGCCCATCAGATCCATGCCCTGCCTCCCATCTCTGCCCACACACAGCCCTCCCACACGTAGGATCATTGCTGATTAGTCCACCTTACTTTTGGCTCTGTTGATGACCAGAGGATTAAGTGCTGCCACTGTGACATTAATCTGACAAAACTCGATCCCATGCATCGTTACACATTCAACAACAGTCCTTCTGCACCACATTATCTAAAAAGAGACCCCACTGCCAGACCCTGTGCTTGGCAGCACAGCTAACACACTCAGCTCAAAGGGACAGACTTCCACATTTCTCACTGGTGTCTGGTATCTACTAGATTAATTTCTCGCCCTTTTCACCATTCCTCCTGCAAACAATATATCTGCAGTCCTCGCTCTGTAATCTCTCTTCTACTACTCATTTACTGTGTTCTTGAGTTGCTGTCTTTATTTTTTTTGTCTAACACCCAATCTCCCACTCTAGATGTAAGCCAGACAAGAAACAACACATTTTCTACTTAGCAAGCCTGTCATATACCCATGTACAGCAACACTGTTTTATAGACTCTTCATTTTATTTAAAATTGAGTATCTTTTTCACTTCCAAATGGACTGCTAGCAAAACAACACAGCGATTCTGAAAATGCAAACTAATCAGCACTTTTTGTAGAAACACCCATGTCCCATGACAAATACATGACTGTCTCTTGTTGAATTCTTTGCTTTCTTGGTGCAGGCTGACAGACAAAACACCTACCAATCTCAGTCTTTAAGACTTCATATGCCACGGCAGCAAGAACTGCTATTTCTTTAACAGGTAGATAGCCAAAATAAAAGAACAGCACTTTCGCAGACTTTCAAAGCCTCTGCTTCCCTTGATTTTAGAATGAGGTGGGGTTTTTTTGCTTTTTGGGTTTGTTTGTTTTAGCGTACCACTAAGTAGAATACTGGATAAATAAATACAGTTCATATAGAATTGGAAGACAGGCATCTAGTTTGCATTTATATTCCTGGTATTTGCAGAACCATATTCTTCTCAAGCATGCAGGAGAGTACTAAGCTCACACTGCATATGCATAACTCTGAGCATTAAACACATTCAAAGAAACAAACAAAACACATCATACATGTCTGGGGATCTACTGATTAAGTAAAAAGAGAAACACCTGGCCACAGTTGCCACTTGCCCCTCAAGTCCAAACAGCAGGAACAATGAGGCATACAGGCAGTAAAAAAAAGGGTGTTAGTCCAGATTTCACATGCAGCACCAACAATTTCTGCTTCATTCATTAATACATGCTTTTCATATACATTTTGCAAAGAAAAGAGTAAAAATTCATATGAACTTAAAATCAGCTACGTACGTTTCTCTTCTGCCAACTGCAGCAGAATTAAAGTTCTATAGATCTGTATAGTACCTGTTGGCAACTATGCACCTGAAGTTATATATTACACCTACTTCAGTAAAACTCTAAGCTTAGCTGAACAATTTCAGAACAGTGTAGGATAAAATGGGCTCGATACACAAGAACTACAATACTGAAACAGAACTGCAAGGCTCTTTTAGTTTTGTCCTCTACCAAAAAGTCAGTTTACCAAACAATACCTTAATTCCTAGCACACAAATGTGAACAGGACAAGCATGACCACATCACACAATAATCACCATCCTTCATACTACATGTTCAAATAATAAGCTATCTCACTTTCACAAATGCTTTTTTCTGCTCAAAAACTCAAGAGACCACAAAGTGTTTCTCAAATGCTTCTCTTAACCAATACATTTCGGCAGTAGAATAAATACAGGTGTTTTTGTTTTTATTCCCATGAAGAACGAATGTCTTCTTGTGAACCAATCAGATATTCTTCCCAAATGGATGTCTTTCACAGTGGACCACAATTTTACTCACGTGCTTGAAGGACTTGCATTCAGAAAGTCTGCTTTCTGCAGAGGTGCAGGGAGAGCAGCTCCTTTGGTTGACCTGCCTTCCCCAACAGCATATACCAGTAGCATCAGGCTGCTCCCTTACAAAAATGCCAGAGAAGCACTTACCATACACCACCCACGTGCACTTCCAGGCAGGGGCAGCAGTATCTTCCCAAAGTAGCAACTTCTCACCAAAGGACTTCGTGCTTGAGAAACCTATAGCAAAGTTAGGTTAAAAAGATGGATTTGGAGGTTTTTTTTTTTTTCTGGTTCCTCAGCTTTTCTGAAAATCATAACCATACTGATAGAGCTGCTTTGGTTTTTCTGTCACTTTAGATTTCAAAATTCATCTGTTTGTTCTTTGTTTCTGTGGTCCTCAGTGAATGAGGATAGGAGCATCTGGCAAAAGCAAATTAGTACCAGAACTTCAATTTCTTGGAAAATAAGCAGGTGTCAGTGGTTAACAAACAATGTTACTACACTGTGCTATTTTAAAGTCTACCTAAAACATCTAGATGATGCAGGTCCACTGTGCTTTTGTGTCTTTTAACAATGAAAAGAATGTTATATCAAGTTCCATGAATGTTAAAAAACAAAGTGAGGGAGCTAGACAATTATCTGCACACACATCTATGAGAAAGTTAGAAAGTTGGTTTTTTGAAGACTTGAAACCCAACTCCAATATATAAAATCCTTAATATCACCAATGGATGCCAAGCAGGTTAACTCTGGTTAAGACTGGACTGCTTCCTTGGGGCATCAAGCATGGTGAACTCTGATACAACTTTCCAGCTCTAAACTCCAACCAATGTTCATACCTCGAAAGAGATATTGAGCTATTTATCACAAGCCTTCCCCAAATGCATACTGACAATCCCTTCCTGCTGGAGGGCCACTGATAGCAGCAGAACTACCTCAAAGATGGTACAGCTCAAAATATCAAGATTTGAAGACTGAAAATGACTGCCTAAGATTTCAGGACTTTTAGAGCTTCCCTCTATCTCACTAAGAGTCCTTCAAACTGGCTTACAAACTATGCTGTGCCCAAATCTCAACTGCTCACTGACTTTTTCATGAAGCTACACAACTGCACTGCTACTTACTGTCCTACAGATGAGGATAGGAGGTGTAGGCAACCCCCATAAATGGTGATTCAGCTTGTTCAACTAAGTCTATTCAGTAGCAAATTACTAAGTTTTTCCCAATGGCAGACCTTCCACATTTAGGTAACTGCACGTTACATTAAAATTTGCTGAAGGTGTCAACATGTAAATATCAAGATTGTACCAAAACAGAGCTTTACCTACCTCACAGAATCTCAAGTCACCAATTCTATTAAGATGTCAGATGCTTTCAGAAAAATCACAAAAATAATTTTGTATCTGCTTTAAAAACTATTGCATAGCATGATCGGATGCTGACTTACTTTAAAAAACAGCTTGGAGACATTACCTTCTCCTTACCAGCACAAGGTACCAATAGGCAGCCTCCCCTTTTTTGTTCAGTGAAATAAGAGGGGAAAGAAGAAAAAAAATAAATATTATAGATTGTTACAAAACTAGCTATTATTTAATTCTGGAAACAGTTCCACAAACCAAGTGAAACCAGGCATTTGCAGAAAGAAGGAACAGAACTAAAGGCCTCAATATGGTCACCAGTAACTCGCTATACAGTTGGTTCTCACCAACTTTTCTGTAGCAGAGATGCTTGTTCATATTGAGCAAGATCATCTACTTTTATTTTATAGCACACTTATGCTGTCTGTAATGAGAAATGATCAATTAATGAATAGTTTAGGATCTTGATGCCATCAGCTCATCCCATCTGTTTGTATTGTTTTTAATCTCAAGGATTTAAAGACACATCTAATCTGCTGAGAAGGAGGCATTGCTCCATTACCTCATACAAGAGCAGTTTAAAATAAAAGTTAAAAAAATCACGTTGTTCACCAAACTCCAGTGATACTTGAACAGAGCTTCTACAGATCAGCTATGCTTAAGGAAGTTGTATATGCCACATTCTCAGAGCAATGTGACACACTCCAAATCAGTTTCGCTTTTTGAGAAAGGAAAGAAACCAAATGCTGTTACTGAGCTTTGAACAAGTGACAGTTAAACAGGTTTCAACAGCAGCAAAGAGAGTAAATGCTTCTAGTTAGCAAGACCTAGTTCACAGTTGACAAACGCAACCATTTCAATTTAGCAGCACCTCAGCAGGACCCCTTCTCAGCCCCTCAATTCCCCACCACATTAGTAGCAGCTACATATTACAAGTCACCAGAATTAACTGGCCCAGGTAATACAACTAATGGGAGGTGGGAAAAAAAAAAAAAAACACCTATCAGGTACTTCATTGTTACCAGTGCATTCAGAATCTGAAGGGGCAATGGATGTAAAGACTACAGTAGAGAGAACAACAAAAAAAAAATTAAAATTTAAAAAATTACGAGGACTGAAAAACACAATCAAATAGATCAAATCAAATTAGAAATACATCTAATTTACCTCAGTATTTTAAACAACATTATACATTTTATTGTTTAGAAAACATGATGACATTGCAGAAAAATAAAATAAAATTTGTATTTAACAGCACAAACATTTTACATAATGGTATAAAAAATCTATTGGGAGCCTGGAGGAGGGGAAAAGGGAAACAAAACCAACAAAAAATTACTACTCTAGAAAAAGTAAAAAGCTAAAACAAAGTCCAGAAGTGTAAATCACAAAGTTTTAGCTGTTTCAAATACACAACTGTGTACCTTTCACAATAACAGTCACAACTGAAAGTTTTTATATTACCACAGTCCTCCAACAGGCCAGTCTGCAAGTTAAATTCAATCATAATAAATTGCAACATTCACAAGTTTGCAATTATTGATTGCTTTTAGATGTTCTAAAAGGCTTTTTTTTACATATCTAATGGTTCATCTTTTATATTCAATTTGTGCTTAACATTTTTTAGTTCTGACATACTGAAACCCAGCAGCACAGATGGTTTGTGACTATTTATTGCCTTTAAGCATATATTTCTCCTTTTTCCAAAGAATGATGCAACATCAATTTTCCAAGCATACAGCAGCGTGGACAATAACTGCATCTCTTTTTTTGAAGGATATGGCCTCACATGAAAATAGTCTGTCAGAAACTGTTTTTGAATTTCATACGAACTGTGATCATATTGTCTGGGATCTACTGCTAGAACACGAAGATCCTCACTCGAAATTTTCTTTATCTCAGTCCTAATACTAATCTTTTGTCGTTTGAAAGGCACTAGCCCTGAATACAATTCATCTTCTGGATACAGAGCTAGTCCGGTACTTAAGCTTAGTGGCTGCTGTTCCTTATTCTTTTGGTCTTCTGCAACAAAGCAGGTATCAGACTGCTTCCTCTTAATTACAGAATCATGCTTTTCACCATTCACAAACAGTAGCTCTTTCTTCTCAGAACGCTCAAGCTGCATCTTCACACTTGAGTTGCTGTTTTTGGGAGCACTTCTACAACGGAGCAGATGCACAGCAATAGCTGTTAGAGTCATGTTTCCAGTGTACACGCCACAACAGTGGATGCACTTGAAAGCTGGAGACTTTAAAATTGTATGTACAGTTGGCATAACATGATGCCTCTCTTTCAAATGCATTTCATAGGTTTCTTGACTAATAAACAAACTGAAACAAAACGGACAGGTGAACACTTTGTTGCATCCATTGTTCAATTCTGCTGCCTGAGGTTTCACTTTGATGTAAATGGGGACGAGCGTCCTTGAATTTACTCCAGCGAGCACCGCCAAGTGTACTTCTCTTTCACCAATGTCTTCTTCTGGTAACACTGTACTGAAATCAAAGTGTGGAAACACCAGGTCACCCTGAGCCTCATCACCTAACTGAAATCCTCTGTTGCTGTAATCTGCATGTAACTGCTTTTTGCCACTGTGTGTAGATTTGTTGTGTTCCGCAAGGCTTTTTAAGTCGTGGAAAGTAACTGTGCAAAACAAGCAAGCTAAGCCGTGCATCAGGAGATGTTTCATGAGCTCTTCCTCACAGAGAAAGCATTTACAAGAGAAACATCGAACCGTCTTCTCTGTCATCCACCTTAGAAACGGTGCACAAGCTGCAAGTTTGTCAGGTTCCTGGGCATCCTCTACTTTTACTTCACTATGTTTGTGGGCCACCTCCATATGCACCTCATAGACGTTTGATGGAAAAAGCTCATTGCAAACAGGGCAGATCTTCCATTGCTTCGCCTTTTCAAGGGTCTGACTTGTTTCAGAATCAGGTGGGGAAGCTTGTAACGATATACCCTGAGTTGTTAAAACCATTGGAGGAGAGGGTGCACCAGCTGGTGACTGAGATAACTGAGTTACTGTCCCAGACTGCATTAGCTGGATAGGCACTTGCGGTGGAGTTCCCACGGTTACTCCACCACCAGGAGGTACAGGCAAAGTAACTGAAACTGGAGCAAGCATGTAGGTAGGTATTCCATTAAACTGCTTCCCAGTTGGAATCAACTGCCTAAGTATAGAACCTACAGCCAAAAAAGTTGCGTTTTGAGAAACTGCAGATCTAACTGACTGATTTACTGGGATCACTGCTGGGGCTACCGGCTGATTAAGCTGAAGAAAGCCAGGTCTGACAGGCGGTCTGACAGGAACAACTCCAGACACAGCAGACTGATTAAGCTGTACAACTCCTGAAGCAACTGTCTGAGCCACAGGAAGGACTGTGGGACCAACGGGTCTGTTCACACTCTCAGCCGAATGGTTAACTGAGAGAACTCCTGGTGCAAGTGGTTGATTGACAGGGCTGACAGGCTGAGCGACAGGTAATGTTGCAGCTGCAACTGGACTATTTACAGTACCAGACTGATTAACAGGAAAGAGTCCAGGCCTGACTGGTTGATTAACAGGAAGAACTGCAGGGGCCACGGTTCTATTTAGGGTCCCAACTGAATGATTCAGAGGAACAGCCCCAGCTGTGACAGGCTGATTAAGAGGAAGCCTGTGGGAAACAATGAGAGGTTGAGAAGGAGATGGCTGAATATTAACATTATTCTGACCTACAGGAAGGTGACTGGATACAAGAGTAACATGTGATGGGGTAACAAGTGGAGCAGAAGTTGTATGTGGAACACTACAAGAGGCACTTGGGACAGTCAGTGATGTGACTGTATTCTGAACTTTTGGCTGCACCACAGTCTGGTTGTGATTATTCTGTGGGAATGCAAGTTGGATACAAGCTGGAGCTGAGATGGAACCTCCTGGGGCCACAGGAGGACCTAAAGATGGAGCAGTTACAGGTATGCTTTGGGGAAGCTTTGGAGCAATCTGCATTTGTTTTACAAGTCCTGGTTTCTTAATATGCTCTGAAATTACAGACCGAAGTTTGTTCTCCAGGTCTCTGTGTGTTTCAGCTGTCAAGACATGATACATTAAAGAATCTTGGCTGTTTGCAGAAGCATTACATTTTTTACAGTAGTTCTCAATAGAATTCTCTTTACTTTCATCAGGTCTCTGGCCAAAATATGTACTTATTAAGTTTTGAAAATGGTTCATCAGCACGTGTTTCTTCATGTTATAATATAATGTGTCTGTAAAGTTACATTTTAGACATGTAAAATTAATGATGTCACTCCTGAATTGTTTCATGCCATCCAAGATGCTAACTGTATAGTTCTGTATTCTCTTATTAGACGAATGAAACATTCGGATATGTTTTCCCACTACTTTTGGCTCAGAAGCAAACACACATTTTGGGCAAGGTACTACAAGCTCTTGATCCATTTCATCTTCATGGTAACGGTGCAAATGATTCCTCAATGAAGTAAGTAATTTTGATGAGAACTTGCATAAACTACAGCAGTACGGCTTTGTTCTGTATCTCTGCAAACAAAACAAGAAAATCCACTTAGAAACTTCCAGTTCCTGAAACTGTTTTCTGTTTGAAAAGAAGTCTACTCTATCATCTGTCAAAAATAATTTCACTGGGTGTATAGCATGTATCCTCACCATTCCATAGAGACCTGTTTATTGCTGAGTAGCAAACTTCAAGATGACATAAAGGGAGAAACATTTGTGACCATTCTGTTCCCCTGTATTTTATCACAAAGCCTTATGCAGGTTAATTTTTATTCCCATTCACAAATAAAATAATTATGAAGCCATTAAGGATGGGAATCACAGAACAGGATAAGAAGAATTTGTACTCCATTATACAAAGGAGATAAAAGTCTTAACAGGTAGGAATAGCAGTCCACTTAATATGAAACTATTAAAGCTTTGTTTAGTCAACACGGTCATCTGCTATTTATTTGAAGAGAATGGAGAAGTGAGAAGTAAGGAACTTTTAAATTTTGTTTTTGTATGTATTTCAACGTCCTACCACTGGCTGAAAAGTACTTCCCCCAGCAAAGCCAAAAAAGACTAAACTTTTAAGTATATTATTTGAGAGTCAGATCACTAACAGAAAGAGAAAGCAATAAAACCCCTTTTATCAGAAAATAGCAAATCACCTCATAATCTCAACATACTGGACATCCTATTACACTAATGCCTGTAAGAAATTTCATCTAGCATGCTTATTACAGACCCTTCCCAGAATTACAGCAATAATAAGCCTGTTTCTACTTAACGTTCGTATACTCCTTCAACAGCACTGGTTTTCATACATTCATGAATATCAACTGCTCTTCCTAAAGTGTATAACTGTCAGCCATTTCTAGGTATCCACACTTCCTAGGAAGCTGCCCCTGACTTCTAGTAATACACAGCCACTCACAGCAACACCTAAGTGACAAGTGTGCACTCAAAGATCTCGTGGAAAATGGTTGTTTATGAAAATGTCATTTCACCTTACTGACCACTGTCACTTACAAAATTACATCCAAAAGCAACAATAAGCTGTTCCATCAGTAAAGATCCAGCTTAGCTCTATCACCCATCTACATGCCCAATACAGAATCGAGAATCCAGGCAGTTATTTGTTTTGCCATTTTATATAGCCATGAAGGTATCACCTGGTAGCAACACTAAGAATCTATGCAGTCGATAAAGCAAAACCAAGAAAATCTAACTTCCAAACTCAAAAGATAAAGACACTGCCTGCCTAAAGCTGCTGAAGTATATGCTAGAAAAGTATCACCAAGTAATTTTCTGCTCTTACATTCTTCAGGTGTCTGTTCTCAGCTGTTGGTAAACAGCACTGCATCAAGTTAGAAGAAGCTTCAAACTTGTATTTGGGAGTACAATGGGTAGGAAAAAAGCCAGCAGCACTAGAGAACTAATGGAGCATGGAGCACTATTAAAAGCTCCCCTCCACATCTGAAGACATCAGGTGACAAACTGATGTTACTGCCTATTTTAACTAGCTGTTAAAGACTTAGAAAAGCTTATATGCCTTTAAAAAATTGGACCAATGCACCCCATCACCACCACTTTTGATTTGTATCTCTCCTTCTCAACTTATTTCCATATAAATAGAATTACTTTCTGTAAACAAAGTTTCCTTGCTGTCAACTATGGATAATATGGGAGTATATACATTTATAGTTAGGGCCAGTGAGAATACTACTTCACAAGCAGGTGGTCCAAGTGCTGAATTTGTAATTCTATAGTAAAGACATTTTTACTTTTTAATACAAACAAGCACTGCAGCATACCACTAAAACCTGTCCCAGTATCTGGGGACAAGGTCTAGGGTAAAATTATGTTTCAAGCCTTTTTCAAGCTTTTTTTTTGTTTTTTTAAAAGGAGGTCAAAATTACAAGACTTGACCTAAAGAAAAATAAGCTTCATATTTCATGTTCTGTTGAAGAAGGAAGAAACCTAAAATCTCAGCTCAAAATAAAAAACTGCTGCAGCAGGACAGGAAAGTTTGTGAAAATTTGGTGGTTTGGTTTTTTGTTTGTTTGGTTTTTTGGTTTTTTTGTTTTTTGTTTTCTTAAAATGTCTGTGAAAAGAGTTCTTCCACACAGACACCTAAGGAGATCATTGGGTCAGCACATTCTTCACACATGCAAGTCTCAGCTGCCTTCAATGTTTGAAAATGCTACTCTTTCTTAAAGAATAAGATCTCAGTTGTAAGGAAGTTTTTGAGAATAAAAATTTGCTTAAGAAAACTGGCACATCTAGAAGTCTGACCAACACAACACTAAACAGTACAAACGCAATAAAAAAAATCTTATTTAGGAAAATGTGATTGATTCCATTCCAAAGAACATACTCCAGAATAAAATATAACACTTTGTTTTAGAGTCTCAACATTCCCCACATCCTAGCCAACACAACAGCCTCCTAAAACCCAAGTTCTTCCGGAATTACTAAAATCTCTGTAAGAATAATCACACTGGTAGAAACCACAGACTAATTTATTTAGATAGTTTCTCCAGATTCCTGAATTTTTTGATGTAGCTTAACTTTTTTCCCCTTATTGTAGCAATTTTGGAATAAAACATCTTAAAGGATCGACTTCTTTTCTCTCATATCTAGGCAGCATGAAGATAAGTGAATAATACAGACCAAAGAAACAAAGTTGTTTGAAGAAAAGACAGGTACAAGTTTTGTAAGCAGAAGACATAGCTTGGCAAATGGGATTGACATCAAATCTTAAACCTATGGATCCAAGTTTAGGAAAGAAAAACTAGAAGATAATCTAGACAGGTCCTAAGTGCTAGAGAGATCACCTTCTACCAAATGAACCTGGCTAAGCCTGAATGGCATTTGGTCAGCTTGTATGTTGAGGGCTTTGTTAATAACAGCAACTCTGTACTCTGTGGCCTCCACTCCAGTTTTAAAAATGGTTAATGCAGACAAACTTCAGTCAAGCCATTACCATGCTATTCTAAACCACTATTTACCAGGATGAAAAGAGGATACCTACTGCTATTTACAAGTTGCTGAAGGCCTTCCTCATACAAACGGCCAGGAATCTTGAGACTTCAGCAAGATTCAGAAAAGACTACCTTTTTTTCTGGGTGTACTCCTGTGCTTTACTTACTGATTTCTGTAATTTTATATCCCAGCAAGTCTCTAAGATACTTTGTTTTGATCATCTCAGCCCTGTCTTTTACGCAGATTCTCGATCCACACAGAAGCCCAGCTATACATGAAGTAAAACAACACTGTCTCAAGCAGCTAATGAAAATTTCAACTTAATTTATCTGTACAGTCACATTTTCATTACTCTGCTTAAAAAAAGTATATTATATAAAAAAGCATGTCACAACTTCATATAATGTGAGGCTACAGTTGTAGAACACTGGTGTGACACATGAAATACTGATGTTCAGGACTTAAACACTTTAAACAGCACATAGAATTGTCCTTATAACCTGCAGCATTACAGAAAAAAAAGAGGCAAGGGAAGATTATTCCCCAAACACTATTCAGAAAATAAATACTAGAGCTAATATATTTTAGTTTTTTCAGAAGTCCTGCTAACAGTAATATTCAGCAATTCCACGTGCACATCTACTCAATTTCAAATGCACATACCTTCCTTTTGCCCACAGACTCCCAGGGAGAGACATCACTCCACGAAGTGTTGCAGAAGTATTTTTCACCTGGGTCAAAACTTTTAAGGTTCTAAAATGAAAATAAAGCACACAAGAAATAATCTGCTTTGGTAGATACAATCTGGTCTCAATTCAAAAGCAAGGAACAAGAAAACAAGATGAATGCAAGATGAATGGAAGTTCATGCAGCATTAATATAGAGGTTTCGAAACTCAATTCAAAGAAATTACTTCTGACTCCCGTTTGCTTTATTTTACCTCAGTTGCTAGCTCATAACTTCCTCATGTAACATAGTAGGCATTCTGAACACCTTACTGTCACCAAAAACAAGGAAAATGAAGTGTTTATACTTTATTTCCCTCACTTCTAACCAAGTTCACAGCGAACGCAGATCTTTTCTGCTTCTACCTTCCTCCTCCTTAATCTGCAGTATTTCAGCATGTACTTCCATGTATTTACTTACCATAATTCCTTACTTTGCAGCAGGTATTTCGGTGTTAAGTCTTCATGCTATTATTACACATTTAACTTGCAAAGACAAAGACATTTGAGAGACTTATTTCAGAAAAGTAGCAGTACTTTCTCAAGTTGTAAAAGCAGCATTACTACTGCGTCTGTAACAACCACATCAGAGTAAGCTTTCCTTACAGCATTCTTCTAATCAATTCTATCAGAACAATCCGAGTCCAGTTAAGAGTTCCCCTCCATTTTCATGGCAAGGAAAAAAAGAAAACTGCTGATTGTTACGCCTTTCCAAAGACCCTAGGTCAGCTTCAACAGTACACTGGTGTCTTAGAATGCAGACCACAGATCCAGGTTTAACCTACAGAAAATTAACATATTTCTCACCTCACCTTCCCTTCCATTTAACACTTACTCAGATGCTTAGAAAGAGCACTATGTTTTCAAATGTACACCAAAACCCACTGGAACAACAGGAGTAGGTAATAAAGGCTATTAAAGGTTAGCTCACCTTCAAGAGATGCTGAATTTATACACTGTCATAGTCTGAAGTTAAAAAAAAAATGTAGCATTTACAAACAAAAGAGAATACGTGGTCAAAAAGAGGAGAAGAAAAGAGATTCAGAAGCAGGTAAACAAGGCTACTTGATGCAGGGTGTCTGTGCTAGGCTCCTGCCTGCACTGCACTCACGTGAGCATCATTATCTATGCAACAGACAAGCAAGCATGCTAGTGGTAATATATAAACAAAATTAAGTTTAGGAAAGCGCATTTAAATTTACAATAAGCCTTCTAGCTTTTTTAGCCTGCGCATCTCCTTAGGACAAACTCTGAAGTTCTCAAGGCAACAATGAACAAAGCCCTACCACTCTAATCAGGATCTTCCTACTGCATAAGTCCACCTACTCATCCTTACACCAAACACTCCAGGAAGCACACAACTTTTCTCTTACTCTGGGTAACTGTTCTTTTTAATTCCACAGCCTTATAGGACAGTGTTTTTCTTGTGTTTGCTACAGAATTCACAAAGAATTGTTCAGTTGAACACACTGGAATGCATTTCTTAGAGTTGACAGGAAAGTTTAAATATGTTTTACTTTTGGTTGGAGTGCTCTCCATTAAGAAAGGCTCCTAGGATTGAATGCCAGACTCACACAACCCAAATGCATGTGCAAGCAGGCCTAGGCCTTTTTGCTGAAATGTCTGTCTTGTACAGAAATTCTTATCACTGTAATAGGCTTGACATCCCAGAAGCAACACGTTACACTCTTTCCAGGTTTATTTCAAGAGGGGGAAAACTGGGCAGGGGGAAAGGATAAACAAGGGAGTAAAACTAATCTGAGAAGTGTGATTAATCAAGTATCTCAAGTTGAAGAAAAAAACATTTTTGAAGAGAAAAACCATTTTAAAACTGAGAATTGTTTTCTCCCCTCTATCAAAAAAATCACTGTTTTCCAGAACAGATTTAAGTGCCCAGAGTTTAAATGAATGCTTATACAGGAGGTCACACAATATGCTAAAGCTAGAAAGATTTACCAAAACTAAATCCTCTGACATTACAGTGTAAGTTACTTTGACATTCAAACATAGTTTAATGCAGAAGGTAGGCGTTTACTTCCTAGTGAAGAACAATTAAGAACTTTTAGCTAACAAATAATCCTTCTCTCTGGTCAATCTACCAAGAGTTACTATGTTGTACATGAACATTCCTTCATTTTCCCCAAGCTATCATCCATTATCATGTCTTAACTGGAGTGTTTAAAACCAAATTTTAAGACCAGACAAGAAGTCAAGTCTGTATCATGTCACTTCATACCATTTCCTCAATTGTCCTGTCTTCTCAAAAGCACAAAGTCCAGAAATCCACCTCAATATTCAAAGAACAAAAAAAACACCTTAAGCTACTTCTCTATTAAGACAGACACCCTTTTTATAAGAACAGTCACACAAAATAAACAGCCCTAGATTGTCTGGAAAAATAGATTTTAAGTTATAAAATTGGTTGAAGGAGAATTACTTGATATTTTGGGGCCCATATTTCAGTATTTTCCAGAATGTAAACTTGCACACAACTGTGTCGTGTCAATACCTTTTAAAACTTTATTTAAAAAAAAAAAAAAAACAAGAAAAACCACAACAGGGAACTCTATTTCTTGTTTACTATCAAACGTCAAAGATAATAAAAAAACTTAGTACTGCAATCAAATTTATAGCAAGAATTCCCAACATACTAGCATCATCAAAACATCTTCAAAGCATCAAGACAGATGAGTTTTTGAAGGTTTATTTACAAAACACAGCACAATAAAAAGTGGAAAAAAAAATACTAGACAAGTGTACTTTGAGCTCTTACATTTATTTACACGTAGCACTGCTCAACTGCAACAACCAAGAATGTTCCAGATTTAGATAAGCATGTAGGCCTTAAGTGCTTCTTCAAATCATTTACTTGCACATGCTCCAAGAACACCCCAAGAGACAACAGCACCCCTAGAAAGACTTATTTCAGTACCATCACACAGAATTAATCCCAGCTTTTGGTTACAGTCAGTGTCAAGTCATGAACATGCCAGAGCCAGAAAAGCTTGTGCTCAGTAACCAAGTTGCTATGTTTATACTTTTTCCCAGTGTTAGGACTGCCAATCTGATGTTTGAGGGTCCCTGACTTATTGTACAGTACTTTCTCCAGTAAGTGGTAACAATAGTACTACACTCACTTTGCCTCAGCATACTTGCATATGCTTTTAAAAATACAGAACTGAACCACAATTCAGTAAGTTGGTATTTTCCTGGAGACAAGTTTTAAAAGCCTGCAAAATATTTGGATATAATTGCATGCTGATTTTTAGAAGTTACATTTGTTTGTATATCCTTCACAGGTTTCCTCTTGAACCTTTCAAAGCAATTAAGCTCCCATATATCAAGTCTTCCTCTGTTTGTAATTTTAAAAGAACAGAATTACTATGTAATATACAAACAGCATTTCATATACAAATATACAACATACACATCATATATACATATTGTATATTGTATTATACATATGTATATTACCACATACATAGTATACAAACAGCTGACTAAAGGAGCTTTTTTCCTAAAGTTGTACCATTTCTTATTGGTGAAATTATTACGAGCAGAGAACACACAGCACCATCTGTAACATATTTTGTTGAGAAATGAAGCTTCTTTCAACATCATGTACCAAAAATCTAAGTTCCACTTCTAGCATATAGGCACTCAGACTTAAGTGATCCTTCAACTAAAGAAGCAATTTTCTCCTCTTTACCTCATCATAAAGACCCAGGCCAGAAGAACATCACATATACAATAAATACAGTATTTTTAAAGGTTTTCCTCAAGATCACTTTATGTTACTTTACCTTCAACAATTCCCTGCAGCTGTCAAGCCCAAGTTCCACAAGAATGCCTTTCACCCTTTTGCGAGCCTTCCTGATATTATCAAGATTTTGAACAGGAATTTGAAACATTTTGCACTTTTCCTGAAAAGGAAGTTAAAACATGATGTTATAATTGAATACAGGCACTCACATTTAACAGTATTAAAAAATAAAATGCCAAAAATGCACTTGATATATAAAAGCTAAAGCCTTAAACCAATTACTTGTATGATCAATCAGTAGATCACTTACTTCCTCTTAAGGAACAAAGTTGGGTGGAGCCCCTTGGTTTCTTCTATCTAAACAAACAAGTCTCTTCCTTCATCTCTCTTCATCTCTATATGGTAGCTATAGTGTACCTGGTGGTTTTGCAGGTAAAAGTGAATATGAGAGTTTTACTCTTTTAGGAAAGGGGATTATCAACACCTTTTGCCTTGAACATTACAGTGCCAAGATGTGACAAGAAACCAAATCATCAAGAGAGGCATCTCATGTGTATGCTTTAAATACAATTGCTAGTTAAACCCAGGTTTCTCTTTTTTTCCCCCCCATGGATGGACATCTGCTGCCATAAAGTGAGTCTAGCATAAAGTAGGCTTCTAGAGTAATTAACAACTACAGCTGTATGACACTGATTGCTCAATTTGCTGAAAAGGGACAAGAATTTGAAACATATATTTTTGGCATCCTCTTCTGAAGTGCAAGTTTCCTTATCACCTGGAACTAGACTAGAATTTGAATTTACACCCTATTCCACTCCCTCCTAAAAGCTAGCTGGAGATGAACATCTCACTAAAATCAGATCACAAAAAGACAAGATCTGCTGGTGGTCACCCATTTAAGGGCTGTTGCACAATGTGTCCATCTATCTAGAACTGGAATGTCCAACCTGTGGGCCACACACAGCCCAGCACAGTCAGCAATGCAGCCACCCCCTGCCCTGCCCAATCATGACAGTAGTTCTTCATGGCCCAGCCCAGCTATGGGCACACACACATTACTCAGCAACAACCAAACTGTCAGTATGATATTAATGCTGCCACAGGGCACAGTGCAGTGTGTATCTTCAGTTATGGTGAATAATTGTATGTGTTTTGATACACTGGCTAAACACAGTCCTGTGCACAGCATGGTATGCAGCTTTCCATTTTGATAGAGGAATCTGAGAATAGGTTTTGAGATTGCTGGAAAAATAATCAATTTTTGGTGCATTTCCAACTCCATTCCCAGTCAACAATTACCTGCAAGACTTCAAATGGAACGTACAGAGCTGCCATCAGACATTCAACTCAGTGAAAAATTGGACCATGTCTCTTTACTAGACTTTTATGATCCCTATCTTACCAAAGAAAAATATTCCTTGCTTCACAGCCACACCTTACTCGTGTCATTCCTTTCTGACCATGTGTATATTTGTGAGCAACTATTTTCATGTGTGAAGTACAGGAAGAATAAATTTCATCAAAAATCGGACAAACACCTTGAGAACTCACTAAGAATTGCAATCACTTCCACCAAATCAACCACTGATGCGGTAGTTTCACAAAAACAAGGTCAAATATCCCACTAGCTTTATGCTTTTACTGTTCTTTTTAAAAATACTGTAATAAAAATATTAAACTACAAAAAGTTTGTTGCATTAACTACACTGTTTTATACGTGGCCCAGACAAGCCAAAAGTCTGGAAAGCAATGTTCTAGAACATACCACCACCAAGGGTCCAGTGCATCCCCAGCAGCTGGGTTGTTGTCTCTACCCAGGCAGCTGTGTTAAGAGACTACCTTTTGTATAACTCCAGCTCCTGCTACAAACACAGGGAACGTTTACAGACCGTGCTTTAGAAGTAGGTGTATTTATCACATCCCCGGATCACAGGGAAATGCATTTTACTCTCAAATGTCTAAAATCTGCAAAACTTAAATAGGCATAAAATGTTATAAAACAACCCCATGCTGAAAGAGGTTAATGAAAGCCTCAGAGCTATTTCTTCTTTAACAGTTCCCTGAAGACAAGTTTAAGAGACAGCAGAGTTCTATTTCTAAACAAATCAACCATCCAGGGCAAGGGGTCATAGGGAAAAATACCCAAAACAGTACTTGAATCTCAATGGTCCTGAGCATCCTGAAAAGTTACTTCTCAACAAATAGATATTCATTGTCAAAAGGATATCTTTACTCTGTAAACAACTTATAAAAATAAAAGCCTCCCACAGAAGGCTGAAGTCTTAGCAACCACCAAAAAAAAAAAAAAAAAAAAATCAAACTTTCCAATTTATGTCATTTTTTTTTTCCTTGAATGATAATTTATGTACAAAATATACAATTTATATAATTAAATTAGAAGTCAAAGAACTCACATGCTATTCTCCTCTTCTTCTCCCCGCAAAGGAAAGGTGTGTAGAGAAAAATGGAGAGTGAGCCCCATTGGACAGATGCTAGTCTTGTTTTCTAATCTTTTTTATTGACAAGAAGTCTGGAAGACATTCTGATACCACCAGTGGCGTGGGTCAGAACCTATAAAGAATGAAATAAACCAAATTATCTGGTCAGGCATTCTACCATCAAAATCCAAGAAGTAAAATAAAGACTTAAAGTCCTCTTCTTAAACCAGAGCCAACTTGGATTTGCAGTCTCCAGTTAATGCTTTATTATCAGTTTCTCCATGAAGATGGGTTATATGCACCAACCCCAAGATCCACTTCAGACAACAGAGCTAACAGGACAACACCAGCTCAGCTCAGTCAGAGGGAGCTGTGGTTCAACACTATAAGTTTCACTGCAAACAGCTCTTTCATCTCAGTCCTTTAACTTAATACTGTAGAAACTGAAGCAGACATTTCCTGACACAAGCCTTAGTACAGAAAGGTAATACACAGTACATTACACCCATCTATCTCAGGTTTTTGGTGTTTTTTTTTTTTCTTTTAAAGACCAGCAAACTTTCTGAAATAGAAGTCATTAATCCAGAAGACAGACAGAATAACAACAATAAATTTTGGGTATAGATGACTTATTTTCCAGTTTTCAAGTAGTTGATATTCAATCCAGCAAGACAGGTGCCACTGTACCACGTACAAGGTTATTCAGCTGGTCTTTTAAAATCTTACTGCTAAGCAATCTGTTTAGTTATCCACCTTGTATGTTCCTTTCTATAAAACACAGCAACACACCACCATAACAGTCATGAAATTTCAACTTCCTGAGATCATTCCTTCAAACCTTCAGTTTAATACTCAGATTACTATATAGTTCATCATCCATACTCTTTTTATACTCATTTCTTTTGTGTTCTGAACATTCTTCAAACCTGAGCATGCACACAGTTCCTATGCATAACGTAGTCAACTTTTTGTTGGCATGCAGGCCATTCTTAATCGACAAAATTCAACACGAAAGCAATGCAGTAAGATTAAATCTGAGCTACTCTTGATCAACCATGTTGCTGAAAGTAAGTTTATTTCTAATAACTTTCAATTGAGGTTTCTAAAAGCTTGGTAGCACACCAAGTTTACACAGAGCACATTTCATAAGGGAAACTCCCGAGAAGTCAACAGCAGGGTAAAAGAATCCTTGGAGGAGCTGATGTCTGGATCCCAACTTATTTTATATGAACAGGGCATTCAGACATTGCTCAGGCATTTTATCCACCAATATATTCCGACATCCAGTGTTCAAATAGGTACAACTCCATAATGATACACACAACTGAAAGTACTACACAACACTCACGGTTCCCTTCAGTTCTTTATCATCTGTACTCACACATAAGATACAACTACATTCAGCTTTCCCGCAGAGATCAATACAGCAGCTCTTCCCCTCCCAGTAGCACCAAGTATTTTAACACTAACAACAAAGTAACTGTGTGGACAATGTCTTATGTGTGAAAGACAAACACTGGTCATTCACCAAGTACTTACGTTTGACTAACTCTCGCATTAAAAAAGAAGTGGAAATGTCTGCATTTCAACTCTTTGAAGTGATAAGTAACCACAAAAACGGAAGCTCCCACTTGCCTTCCTTTTACACCTATCTCTTAGAACAATTCTCATTCACAGTGGCAGAGACCTCTGGACAAATCACAACCAGGGTATCCAGTGCCTTGCCTATTCATGTCTTCAAAACCTGCATGGACAGATTTAACAGTCTCTGGGAAACCTGTGCCAATTAATACAGTGAGTTTTTTCCCTTGTATCATTTGGTACCGTTTTAGCTTGTGTTCATGTGGAAATAAGACAACTGCAATCCAATCAAATACGGAGCTGGAATAGAGCTGGAGCAACAACATGAGTACACCTTCCACATGCATGCATCTCCAACAATATCTGAAACAATAATAGAAGTTACTAGAAAATTAATGAGAACAGGCATATAGAAACCCTACTAGAAAATCCAGAAAAAAAAAGGCTACAATATGGCCCTTTTCAGACACCAGAATCCACACAGAAACTGATACACAGACCTGTTGTTAGGATGCTGGCACTCGGTAGTGCTTATAACAGCAGGATTTTGACTCCTCTTACAGAAGTGACTACACTTACAGAATTTTTTTCTCTTTATAATATCTGCATTGGAAATCTAATAAACTGCTTAACGAGCGACTCTGGGAGAAAATCTTGAAGGTTTTTTGTTGTTGTTGCTGTTTTTTAAATGAAGACTGTTTGGGTTGCAAATATTTTAAAAGGTTTATTTGTTATATGGTTTATTTGTTTTCCAAGTTGACAAATAGTAATACATAATTCTTAATTTTCATTTGAATAAATTCATTTAAAGTTGATAAGTCAATTTCATTAAGAAAACAATAAAACTAACTTCCTGAAAGTTAAATGGTGGTAAGCAATAACAACTAATTCTCAAAATCTGAAGAACAAACAAAAATAGCAGAGGCAGCAGCTAGGAAGATAAGCACACTAAAACTGCCTAGAGGAATTTGAGGACAGCCTGGTCATGGTTTTACTTTCATTGATTTTGTTTCAGCCAAGAACCATTCTAGGAAGTATACAAGCCCTCAAAGAAGCCGTACCCATTTATCTGCTCTAACATCTCACATGTTTGACAGATGGTTCCATTCCCTGGACTTTTATCTGTGCCTCCTGAAATACAAGTTCTTCATGGCAATCCCAGATACAAGTAGAGACAAAGAATCCATTGAGAGCGACCGTGCAAAGAAGGACTCAAGTGTCCTGATGGATGAAAAGTTTGACATGAGCCAGCAGCATACTCTTACAGGCTAGAAGGCCAATAGTATCCTAAGCTGCATCAAAAGAGGCATCACCAGCAGGAAGGTGACTGTCCCTTCTACTCTGTCCATTGGAGGCTTCACTTACTGTATGCTTGAGGCCCACAGTACAGGAGGGATGTGGAGCTGTTAAAGCAGAGAACGGCCACTAAGATGATCAGAGAGCTGGAGCACCTCTCCTATGAGGAAAGGTTGAGGGAATTAGGTCTGTTTAGCTTGGAGAAGAGAAGGCTTCTTTATTGTAGGCTTCCAGTACTTGAAGAAAGCTTACAAGCAGGAAGGGGGACTGACTTCTTACATAGGCTTTAAACTAAAAGAGAAGAAAATTAGGTTCAATGTTAGGAAACAATTTTTTGTACAGGTGGTCGTGAACCACTGGAACAGGTTGCAGATGCCTCATATTTGGAGGCATACAAGGTCAGGCTGGATGCAATCCAAGGCAGTCTGATCCAGTGGGTGGCAGCTATGCCCACGGCAGGGGTTTTCTAACTAGACAATCTTCAAGGTGCGCTCTAATCCAAGCCATTCTATGACTGTTTCCTCAAAATCTGAGATGGTTTTAACTGTATGGAGAAAGGACTGCTGAGGTTTTGCTTTGCTTTAATAACTTCCATGAAGTCACTTGCTATTATTACTGTTCTTCTTACAGATAGTATAAAGTCATAAATAAGAATACTGGATATTTGCTACACATAGTGCTAGAAATCCACTCTTCTTGTTCAAAATCAAACAGAAGATTTATTAAAAAGAGTATTAAGATGTTCAGAATATCAACTGGAGATCCCAAGAGTCAGCCTTTATTGCATTAGTATTAATAAATATTAATATTTATTAATATTAATAATTATTTTATTAAGGAGTTCAGTGTATCTTTGATTACAGAAGGCATTCAAAGAAATCAACCTATTTTCTGCAACACAGCATTACACATCACAGCTGGTGGAGAGCTGTATGTAACTTTTCTAGTACAAAACTGAGCTGTTGCAGCAGGAGTCAAAGACTTATACTGCTTCTCGTTTTGCACGCATACCATTAACATGAACATCACAGCTCCGTGGCAATAAAACTATTTCAGATACCCACGTTGCCTGTTAGTAATTAAGAGTTACCACCCAGAGATCTTGCAGCACAACAAATCAGCTCCTTACATACACGATCACCTGTGCGTAGACAGAAATTAGAACAAAACGAGGTGCTGAACAACAGCGTAGGCAACGCCAACCACACAGCACTAGAACCGCAGTGGAAAGCAGTGATTTCTAGCTGCAGATGGCAGACAAACCCGGAAGCCCCTCCTCCGGTCATACCCACTGCGAGCAGGGGACGGGGAGATGCTTGTGACACGAGCAGCGCCTTGACATCACCGTCCTTTAGTTTAACAAACCACCGCTGGAGCCTTGCCTCAGTTCCAGCAGCCGCACCGAGAGACACAGCTCCCCAGATCCTCCAACCGTTCTACGACCGCAAGACCTTCACCCCGCTACATCCCTGCTGCCCGTTATCCTTCGACCAGGAGCGGACGAGAGAACGAGGCCGCTTCGTTCCGCTCCGCTCCGCCTCCCTGGCGGCTCCCGGCAGCCGGGCACCGCCGCGTTCACTCGGCCGCCCAGCGCCTCGCGGTGCCGTACGCGCGCCGCCGCCTGAGCCCCGCTGCACTTACCCGTCCGGGCTGCAGGGGGAGCCCGCCTCGCCGCCGCCTCCCCGCCGCTCCCGCCGGGCCGGCGGCCCACGCTGCGGTTCGCGGGGCCGCACTACGGTCCCCACAGCCGCGCCGTGCCCGGCACCTCGCGGCTCCTCCTCCTCCGCGATCGGCACCGGCACCACCGCCACCGCTCCCACCTTCTACTGGCTGCCGCGCTCACTCCGTGCACCGCGAAGGCGGCGGCGGCGACACCGGCATCGCCGGGGCTGCGTGCAACTCAGCCTCTAAATGCAGCGCCCGGGAGCCACAGCCCCGCCTGTACCCACTCCTCATCCACAGCCAGAAAGAGAAAATGGCGCCCGATTTACCCCAGGAAGTGACGTTGGGGCTTATTTGCATGCCGTGCAGCCAGCCAATCGGAAGAGACTTCGGTCGAGGCTCCCATTGGCTCCCCAGAAGAAATGGGCGGGGCTGGGGGAGGAGTCTCAGCCTCGAGGGGCGTGCCGTGGCGCCGGGGCTCACCTGGGCCCTTGTAAGCTGACCTCGTGCGGTGCGCTGCTGGGGGCTCTGAGGTGAGCTGGAGTCATGACGTCATCCAGGAGTCCGGATGAGGGCACCCTGTGCTCGCCCAGAAGCCCTCTCCTGGTTTGCGTGGAATGATGAGCCATGCCTCATTGACCTTTGGTAGGGGCTGGAGGCCCCGCCCCCCTCCAGCAGCCAGCAGAGCCCTGCAACCAGCCTTCAGGTTGGAGGAGGCCTCACCTGGCTCCTCCACGGCGGGCTCCACCTACAACCCTAGCACCTCTTCTCCAAGCTGGTGGCCATCCTAGCACTGAAGCTGAGTCTCTGCAGAGCTGGAGTTCTAGGTGGAGAAGCCCGGGGGAGGCCCTCTGATAGTGTGGTGCTGTGCTGACCCTGTTCTGGGCACACCAGGACATATTTCCCCACCTCTGCTGCCTTCCTGAGGCAACTGTCAGGTCCTCTTCTTCCCTACATGGTCATCCTGGCTCCACTTATCTTCTTACTCTCATTTCCAAAGGCTTCACCAAGTACCTACTTCAACCAAAGTTCCGTTAAGTGTTCACTGTGTAAAGTAAATTCTCGTCTCATGGAAGCCAATGGGAATTTTGCTTTTGGCCTTGTTAGCCATAAATTTCACAGTATGCCTATGTGTAGGTCATATGCAGATCAACGTTTTGGCCAACTCTCGTCAAAGGCTATGAAAGTTACACAGACTGACATCATCTCAAAAAGTAACACTAAACACTAAAGTTGACATCTAAGACTGACAATTAACCTGTTGGATTTTGGGGTTTTTTTTACAGTAGAGACCACAAAAATTCTCTGCAATCAACGCTAATAAGTGTATTGAAACATAACTACTTGTAAAGTGTTTTGTATGATACCCTTCTGTTATTAAAAATCAATATGATCTATTTCATTATTTTCTACACCTCTCTATAGTCAGGAATGGTGTAAATAAGTCAAGACTTGGAAAATTTAATGCAAAAAAATGGCAACCGTCTTTGAGAGATAAATTATGTATTGTAGACACATAACCACAATATTATAAAAAGTTATGCAGTGCCAAGAGTTACAATATATCCTAGTTAAACAAAATATGTATTTTTAACAAAGTTATTAGCTGCTATCTAATAATTAATAAATAATTAATAATAAATAAATAAATAAATAAATAAATCATGGCACTGTAAGAATGAAAATGCCCATTATGTCTGGCATAACATTAAATTTCTTTTACAACAAAGTATCACCAAATAATCATACAGCGTTTCAAACAATCTTAGAATCATTTAGGTTGGAAAAAAAAAAAAAAAACCTCTGAATTCCAAGTCTCCAATCATTTCCCTAGCACTACCAAGTCTACCACTAAGCCATGTCCCATATCACCACATCCACATGTTTTCTCAATAACTGTAGGGATGGTGACTCAACTGCTTCCCTGGGAAGTCTGCTCCAAAGCTTCACAACTATTTCAGAGAAGAAATTTTTCCTAATACCCCAACTAAATCTCCCCTGATGCAACTCCAGGCCATTCCCTCTTGTGCTGTCAATTGTTTCTTGGGAGAAGAGACCAACCTCCACTTTGCTGCAACCTCCTTTGAGGTAATCATAGAGCACATTAAGATCTCCCCTAAGCCCCTTTTTCTCTAGGCTAAATAACCCCAGTTCTATCAGCCACTCCACATAAGACTTGGTCTCTACACCCTTCACCCTTCAGTGTATGTGTTAAAAAGATTAATTCAAATTGAGAAAAACTGTAGTATATCTCTTACTTTCATATTAAAGAATCAAAGAAGGGTTGGTGTTGGATGGACCTTTGAAGGTCATCTGGTCTATCTTCCTGCTCAAGCAGGGGCACCCAGCTTGAAGATAGCCAAGGTTAATGTACAAACAATTTCTGCAAGTTTCAAGCACTGTGGTAAAAATGGGAAGTACTTCACAAACTGCATGAATTAATCTACTTATATAGGAACTCAAGCTGTAAATCGGTCATCTGCTTACCTTCAGCAGTCAAATCCTGCAGAGTTCAATAAACTAAGTTCCTATTTGAACTAATCAAAGTTATTGCTCATTTACTTGAGAGAAGAGATTGCATTCTCACATTGCATGTCCAGAACTTAACCATACACATAAAAAATAGTCCCATTAGCCTCCGGCTTGAGATAAAGGCTTTCTAAAGTGAAACCTGTGAACAAAGTTCAGATTTCTCCAGCTGAAGAAAAGAAATAGGATAGCAACATGCAAGACTAAATTAGGAAAAGGACATGGAAGAATAAAAATGGATAGGGATAAAAAGGAGGACCAATGTTTGTATTTTTCCCATAAATTAACAATGTCATTAAGTGGTTCTGAGGACAACAACAGAATGAAGAAAGAAAATTCAGAAATACTCTATGTAGTGAAGAGTAAAAAGTAAAAAAGATTAGTTGTTTGGGATAAAATAATAGCTTTGATCAAGTAAACTCAATGGGATTGGACATTTACATTGGAAATGTATTTTAAGACAAGAAGTTCTTCAAGGCATTGTCCTTGGACATCAAGAATTTGGGTGATTTCATTTTGTCTACATGTATCTTTGCTCTCATGCTGGAGTTAAAAACTTGTTCAGTTTATCTTGAACTAGCATTTTAACTAACATTTGACAGTAACATGTTAAGTAACATTTTTGTTTGTACTATGGGACAGTTAGGTCTGGAGGAAATGAAAACAGCAGCGAGTGAGTGCTTTGGCAATTAACATTCACAACTTTGGCTCTTTCTCATTAGTTGTACTCAGAACAGCAGGAGCAGAGCACATGTCTGCAGTTGTGCAGCCATCAGTTGCATTGGCAGAAGGAAATCCTCAGTCTCTATTTTAAAGACTGAAGAATTAAATTTTATAGCTTCCTTCCAGGTCCTGAAATAACCTCCCAGAGTGGTAGCTGATCTAAATGCCTCATCTGGGCAGGTTTTGGCTAGTATGTTTTCTCTTCAACTGCAATGTACATTCTCTACATTGACTTATATTAACATAATGTTAACAAAATTCTCCTTCCTTTAGAAGCACACATCAGTCTCAGCAATCAAAACTGCTTAATGAATATGTTCATTGATCTTTTCTAAAGTTTAAAGATCAATGGAAATTGCTTTACAAAATCTCTTACCCACAAGAAGTTCCAGTTTCTCCCATAGTCCATGACTCCTAGTCCCTGTGTTTACTTCGCTAACAAAGGTGTTTCATTGATTGTGGTAGTATTGCCACAATTCTCAACAGACAGAAGACCTGGGTAGAGTTTCCTAAAGGCAGTATGCGTTTGCACTCCTCTTCCATTGCTCTCTGCATTTTCTTGTCCATCCTCCCTAAACAATAATATCCTACAGTCACAACTCTTGGATTCTCCTGGTTCAAACAAAACTAAATACTAAGAGCTGAAGTTCAATTAAGTGCCCATATGTGCAATAAAAATATATATTTTTTAACATTCTCATTTGTGATGCTGATAGAGCCTATTTCCTTAAACCAACTCAATATTCCACTGAAATCTGTAGAGCCTCTGAATGAATGCAGTAGATATTGAAGCAAGTTTTTGTCAAGAATGAAAGAGCAACATCTCTGGAAGAAGGAAGCCAAGTAGGAACCCACAAAGAAAAGATAGAGCAAAATGAAACACAAGCAGAAATTATAGAAAAAGAAACTATATTCAAAAAGTCTGGTTGCTTTTACATCTTAATGCATGCTGCCAAGTAACTGCTGGAGAAATTAAAAGGATGACAGAGTTGAAAGCATTGAATACCACTGTAAAAACAAAAAAAAACAGTCCCTTAAAGCTCTTCTCTTCCTTACTGTAATAAATCGGATCTTTCCATTTCCACTCTCTGTTGTGAGCAACTGCCATAGCTAGAAGGCATGTGACTTTTTGAGGGTTCTTTATACTCTAACTCTAAATTGGAAACTGCATGCTCTAACTTGGAAATGGCTCAGTAGGTTTTCATTTCTGTGCTGAAGTTAGACATATTAAAGACAAAAGAAGAGGCATGTGCAAATCTCTAGCCTCAGTCCTCATGAGCATATTTTAACAAAGCAAATAGATCATGTCATATGTTCATAAATGTTTAACAAGTTCTTAGAATAAATTGTATTTGTGTTTTAATGTATCTATGTAGTCACTGTGGCGACCAGATCTGGAAGGGTGTAGTCTTTAAGGAAAAGCAACATTTCAGGGGGTGTATTCCATCCAAGTTTAGCTTGGTGTGCTGGGCATTTCATGGAAGATAGCTTAAAACAAAACATAGAATAGCTGAAGTTGAACTAAACTGCAGAGTAATCTATGAGAGAATAACTAGAGCCAAACTTGATGGCTCGTTGTCACTAGATTTAGCATTAAGTGAAACTTTTTAAGTTATCTGATCAAACAGATATTGTACCTAGTCCTTGGTTAAATGATGTAAAACAACGTACTTGAGTAAATTCCATGAAGCAAGGGAGATTTTGGCCAATCAAGACCCAATGTCTGGGAAGTTATTTGAAATAAATAAAAGCTTCATTTTTCTAGGGAATGTGCTACATGCATCTTAAAATCACTGAATGTATATTTAAGTATTTTATCCTATACTACTCACATATAAAGGAATTTTCCTACTGATATGAAAGGGAATATCTTTAAGTCAGAAACAACTGACAATTTTATTAAATGTGGGAGCTATGAGTCTTTATGGTCAATCTCAAATAGTTCAAAGTTCCTTCACTTTAAAACATAGTAATAACATTTAAGTATTTCTATGGTTGGAGCTTCTTTGCTCTCTGCACTAAGACTTTTAAATTTTCACTTACAGTGATTTGACTTTACAATACTCCAAGCAGACCCTA